CGATACATTCTCAGGGCCTGTGTTCATCCAAACGGGGGCGTGGTTACTCTGGCGAGCCGGAAGTGACGTTTGACTGCTCTTATGAATACTAAAGGAAGCAAGAATAAAAGAGATGATTGTGCTTGTTCAAAAAACAACAATAAACTACCACCTTGTACTTTTGCAGAATTGTCTAATATCAGAATGGCAATGTGGTTGCTTTAACAAGCACGACCAAACAAATGTGTACTTGTTCTCATCAAAGTCAGAGGCAACAGATGAGGGTAAAAGGCCAAGTTTATGTTTTTATATCATCTGATTGACTCTGGACACACCAGTAATTAATTGGTTCATTGCAGAATGATGTGCTGAGACAAAGTTAAAGAATTATGTGTGAAATTACATTGTAGCATGCGTGTACATGCTGCACATGTTCTTTTAAACCAGTGGTTCTCAACTGGTCTAGCCTAAGGACCCACCACCAACTCCTTCATGAAAATTGTGACCCAAATTTCTGATATTCTTTCAACCAATCAGATTAATTGAATGAAAAATGGTGCAGTTTGGACCTCAGATGGTACGAAACATGTGACAAACAAAGAGCAGGAACAAAACCAATAGCTTTTCTTTTTTTTCCAGTCACATGTTCACAACCCACTGAAAACAGCTTCGCGACCCACTTTTGGGTCCCGACCCACCAGTTGAGAACCACTGTTTTAAACAATATCAGCACATATCTTCCCTCTTCCTTCACTGATAAAACCTGCATGTCTTCTGCCCTTCCTTTTGACGTTTGACCTCTGTGGGTGTACAGCCGCAAGCTCAGAGATAAACAAGGAGGAGGAGGAGGAGGAGGAGGAGGATCCATGAGTATGAGAGTTAACACAGCAACAACAGTCATGGACACATACACTAAAGGGCCTTTTCCTTCCTCTGCTGCTTCTATATTTAGTGACTTCTGCACCTGTGAGTCTGAGCACACTCAGTCGCAGCTGATGAATAGTGGGCTGTGACCTCAGAGGAAGGGAGGTGCTGAGGGGATGTTTGGATTCAACACAGCCAGTGAGCTGTTTTTCGCTTCAGGGTGATGTCATAAATGTCTACACAACAGTTTTTTAGTAGAGGAAAAATAAAAACATCTGATTTAAAAAAAAAAATCATCTTCAAATTGTCAACAATACTGATCGAACCTTCTCCAAGATTCCAGTCCTCAAAGCAATGCCATCATTTTCTTTTGAATTATCTAATGTATTCCCCTCTATAATACAGCACATTAAGCTTAACTCTCCCAACAACTACAGTTAAACAAATTATAAAATCAACTGGGAAACCTCCAAAGCTTTTATTACAAGAGGTAACTGTACCGTTTTAAAACAACTTGTGGGAGCTTGTTTAGAAGCTGAAATATCACATGATTGGTGATAAATATCTGACATTTCAAATTCACTGTTGCTTTGAAAAGCCCGTCAGTCAGCTTGACAGTTTAGAAAGTTAAACAGCTAAACTTTGTGATTGGCATTTGTGAGCTAAAAAGAGAGTTTTTTCATTACAAATACAAAAAAAAATGTGTATATAGTTTTGTAGTTTTGTGATGCACAATTCAAAGACAGGCCTAGGCCTAGGAGCCTAGCCAAGGACAGGGGCTGCAAATTAGCCACGGTTAGAAACCTGTATGCATGCCATCTGCTTTGTATTTTACATGACAGCTACTTTGTGGCTTATATTGTGTCATTTTAGTCTGATACAGACATGAAACTCTGGATTTCTCCATAATGAAGGCTGTCAGCCTTTTGTACCCGCATGCTTGTGCTCGTGCATGAAGTGTACCGTGCTGAAGCACACCTCTCCAAAGTGTGCCAAAGCCAAGGAAGTGTACCGTGTCTGAGCACGGCATGGAGCGGTCACACTGGCTAAACGAACTGGACTTTAGGGTTGAAGCGTGCTTGGGCACGGTATACAGATGGCCAGTGTGACCGCGCCCTAAGAGATGTTAGCCCAAAAGATGACTCTGCTACACCAAACAGGTTCATCAATAAAAGTCTACAAGTAATATGGAATATTAGGTCATTGGAAGATGCAAGGTTGTTGTTTATTGCCACAGGCTGCCCCCAAGATAGATATGTATTGCAGTACATCTAAACAACAGTATAAAGATTGTTTTATTTCATGAAGTACAGGCTTTTTTTAGACTTTAGTTGTCAGCAGCTTTAGTGGTGCTTCAGACTGTTGTTAAGGGCACTGCTCTAAGTTTTTCAAGCCACCAGATGTTACTGTGTTAGCATAGTTTAAAGCTTCAAATCATTTTGAGTGCAAATAGAAAGAAAACCCTGATAAGGCTTTATCCGCCCATGACTTGTTAAATGATTTCCTGTATTATTTACTTCCTACCTTTGTTGTTGTGTTCACTGTTCCGGTTGTGGCTTTAAGTTTTCCAAACAAGAGTCTTCAATCGAGGTTGTTATTGTCCTCCATTCATCAACGGTGACACACTAATGCCAAACTTACATCAAAAGCAACCAGCTGCATTATATACCTGCCCCGGCTGCAGGTAATTAGGAGGACTAGAGACCATGTAGATGGGACGTCAGCTACATATAATTATAAATACTGACTTTAAACCAACAAAGAACCAAAATAGAGCACGAAGAATGAACAATTTGCTTAATTACAAATTCATTTTATTAAGTCAATTACACATACACATATATTTGAGTAAATTAGCTTTATTAGCACCACTGCAACCCCCTCCATCCTAATGGTTTACCCCTCCCGCTCTTAAGCAAGGGCTCATAACCTTTCACACTCTTTTGACTCCGCCCATTGCTGAGGAGAAAACCAGGAAGTGATGAGTAATTGGTACATTTGAATAAGCTGTTTGATTTAGCTTCTTAACTGCAAATCAAACTGAAAATAAATCCAACCAACGCTCCCCTTGATATCAGCAGATGAAGACTAATGAATATATTGGGTAGTTTGTCACATTTTAAGACCATATAAGAGGGATAAATATGGAATACACTAAGCACTGGTAAGCTTTGCTTTATATCATCCCACAAATAATGACGATGCTTTTCCTTTTAAGTAAACAAAAGCCGCACCCTTATTTCAGTGTGTGTTGAGGCTTAAACAAAACACTTAACTAAGTGATTGTTACCTCACTTCTTCAACACCGACTCATTTTATTTTGATTGACATCTTTAGCAATAAAGGGCCAAAATACAATGTTGCTCAAGTCATTTTTCTTTTATGTTGATAATATACAAAAAACCCTGGCAACAGAAACCACCCCCTCTCATCCTTCCGCCAGATTCACACTAACACTCTGCCACCCCCATCTCCTCAAATCCATCTGCCACAATGACTTCCTTCCTTCCGCCTGCTTCTTGTCGAAAATGCAGATGGATGGAAATAATTATCCTGTTAAACCTCCAAATGTTCTGCGTGTACTCATGGTAAAGATCCATTAAGACCCCTCAAAAAAGTCGGTGCCATTCCTGGAAGCGATCAAACGCTGTGTGTGAAACGAGATGGGATAACTGATGGGCTGTTGGGCGTGCTCACCTCCCTCACTGCACTTTCACATCACAACAAGCTGACAAACTTTCTCTGTCCTCCCCCTCATTCATCTCTCTCTCTCTCTGCTTTCCATCTCCTCCTGTATACATTAGTGAACCCACGCCTGTTTGCCTTCCCTTAGTTCTCTTCACTGTGTGTGTGTGTTTGTGTGTGTGTGTGTGTGTGTGTGCGTGTGTGTGTGTGTGCGTGTGTGTGTGTGTGTGTGTGTGTTGGTTGAAGTCATGTGAGTGAGCATGTGTGCAAATGTGGAGACTGTGGACGCTGTGGGTTGTGCAAGCTGCTTGTAAAATCTCTGAGCTCCCTGTGGATGCCCACTTGCTTTCAGTGGATGGCAAAGGCCCTGATACATGCTCACACATGCAAACACTCAAATGTACACGCACACACATGCGGACACACACGCAGATGCTCAACAGATTGCAGAGTAGCACTTGCCCTCACTTCCTAGAGGGCTGCTTTCTGCTCAAAGCACATGCAAGCTAAAGTGTGTGTGTTTGTGTGTGTGTGTGTGTGTGACAGGATATGTGTCAATCTCTAGTTCGCTCGCACACACACACACACACACACACACACACACACACACACACACACACACACACACACACACACTGCATCTTCTCTTTCTTCTTCATTTTTACCACATCACTGCTATGTTGCATGTGATTAGAGATTTAGGCCACACAGGATGTTACAATCGCACACTTTCCCACTGGTTGGCAACAAGTTGAGTTCAGTGGTGAGTGGGTGGACGGCTTAAGAACACATTTTCCATCATCAATAGATACCAGTTAAAGAAAATGTTCAGCAAAAATCACTGAGAAGAATCATCTTAATGGACAAATCTTTGTGATAAGAAGCTGAATATATTTGGATTTTGGACTGTTTGATGACAACATTGCACTTTCATGAAAAGAGGAGAGACCCCCTTTGTCCTGTGGGAATTCAAACGGATAAATCAAACCATAGGCAATTTTAGATCGTTTTAAAAGGGGTGCTGAGATTTTAGATGTGCTGAAGCCAAAGAATATCAGGAACATGAGCCCCAAAGTTTTTTTTATTTATTTGAAATGTGTAGTAATTTTTTAAGCCAAGCATAATCCTTTGCTACTGCCGTACAGCACCCCTTAACCCCCCTCCCCACCACACTCACTCTACAAATGCTTTAATTCAAAAGTCAGGATTGAACCAGCAGGTCTGCACAGACACAGACAGGGAAGCGACAGGGATCAGTGAGTTGCTGAAGTGAGTAGAGCATTGACTTCCATGCTATGGACAGTATGAACACTGGCGACATCAGACTGCTACAAAAACCTTTCAGGATCAACTGAGGCAGATTCCCCCCCCCCAATTATTAGCAATCTAAACTCTCTCTGTTTTCCTCTTTCTTCCTCCTACCTCTGTCCTTCCACATCCTCTTTTCCCCTCCATTACTTCTCTATCCTCAGATTGACCTGGAGCCAGAGGGGAAGGTGTATGTTGTCATTGACCTATCAGGATCTTCCAGTGAAGGTAAGAACTCACTGGTTATTGGATGAACTCACATCCATGGTCAGATTAAGCGTGTGTAACTCAGAATCAGTGCACAAAAAAAACTGTTGTATAATAATTTCCCGGAGCTCTCAGTCTGAAGTGATAATCTTGTTCTGATAATCTCTTGAGAAGTGTCTAATGATGTCACTTTGATTTTCTAGATTGTCTGAAGATTTTTTTTATAATTGTGTGCCCCTTACACTTAAAGTTAACTACCAAGTTCCTCATACTTTTTCTCCAGAACAGCAAAGTTGCGACATACAATTCTTGGTCACTTCTCAGTGAAAAATGCGATTTCAATGTGTTTGTTATGTTTTATGATAATTTCTTTGGCCTGAGGGTGGAGGCTGTAATTGCTCGGTTTAAGATGTACAATTCTTGTTGACACTAAAGGTAATGATATAGCTGTGCTGTGTTTTGCAGTTTTTCCTCCAGACAGTAGATGAGTGACTACACTTAAACAGGCATGTTGACATATTATTAAATGAAGAGCCCTGTCATGTCTGAGTGGCTCTTTACATGTATGAACAGGATTAAACAGCGGCCTTTAAACGACCGTCCTCATGGTAACATCTAGAATCTTTGTTTTACAGCATTTCTAAAGTGTAGTCAGAAAGTAAAATTTAAAAAGACAGTAAGTTTCAACCACATAGTTTGAGAAAAGAGGCCTTCAATGAGTGCTGATATAGAGCATACAGTATAGCTTCATGTCAGGGTCCTGCTCACCCTTTAGGGGGTCCCTCCTCTATAACCACCTGCACACTCTACATGATCACACAAATTATCACACTGCCAATTATTTTTTATTAAAACAAATATGGACTTGGGAAGGATACTATTGATGTAAAAATGATTATATTTCCTCCATTAAAAAAGTTTCATTCCATCTGGATTTCAGGGATTAACCAATCAGAATCAAGTATTCAACACAGCCATGTTATAATCAATTCTAAAAGATAAAGGCAGCATTTTGAAAACCGCTTTGTCTTCATGAAAAATGTATTCCAATATGATCAATAAAATAAGATTTACATTTGTATTTATCTCAGTCCCTGTAACATCATAAATCATCATTGATATTAAACATTTGACTAAAATACAAACAGTATCATGAAGACAATATTGCATCACTCAAGTGTGCAAACATTTTCTTACACGCTTTCTTACAAGTTTTGGGATTTTTCCATTTAGGTTTTTTATGAGGGAGGCAAACTTATTGTGAGGATACTGTGTTAAGGTTTTACCTTATTTAGTAAAAATATTGCCATAATAAAATAAATATTGCGCCTTATTTGTTTGAAAATGTTAAAGCAGTGAATCCTGTAGTTTAGAGATTTGACTGGATCATGCACTCACACACTCAAAGTGCTTTCACACTTGCAGAAATCTCCTTGAAAACTGATATTTTAGGAGCTGTAGTGAATGCATACAGTGGCGTTTTTCACTCGGATGTGAGAGCCCAGCAGGATATTATTCAAAGTATTCACCTCGAGCCAGTAGGAGAGGGTGGTGATGTTTATACCATGTGACTTCTGCATGGTGTATAGACTGTATGCACAAACCTGCTACAATCTCCATGCACATAAACCGCAGCATTATGTTTTCTGTTAGCTATATGTTCTTGTCCACACTTTGTTGACATGTGATTCGGTTGAACCACACGAAGCATTGATATAAAGGCAAATATTCTCATAGTAGCATCGTATAACAGACTCTGTTGCTTCATTAGCTACTTACCGGTTTGTATCGTTTTTTCTTTACATCATGTCTTGCCTCGGACACCCACGCCCCCCCAGCATATGTGAAAACAGATATCTACACTGTGAAAATGAAAAACTGTGTCACTGAGGGGCTTTAGTGACCTTCAGCCTCTTTGTATTTTCTGAGAGCAGATCCTCATTCATAACAGACACACTGTGCACACCAACATATGCAGCCCAAAACAATCCCTTATTTTGTTACATTTAGAGAGATATAAGATCAGGGTTATTTTTTTGAACCCCTCTGATGTCAAACAATGCTGCCCTACTTTGGCTTTATGAACCACAAAGTGAGCACATGTCCTTTGTATAGTTGAATTACACTGTAAGTGTATCTACAGGGATTTTGGGATTACTTAAAGCAGGATCAAACAACCACCTTGCAAGACACCTAAGCCACTTGATCTTCATGTCAAATACTTCTAATTGGATTAGTTCTTTTCATCCACTCAGTTTTATCTGAGTCTAGGAAATGGCTGTGTTAAATACTTAATTCTGGTTTGCCAATCACACATAGTGAAGGGTTTCTATCCAGAGATACCAGAAGGAAGAGCAGTGGGTTGCTAGGGACGCAGCTCTAATAACAGACTATGGACAAACTGTATCATATCAATCAATCAAAAGAAGTCAGATTAGTTTGACGTTGGACCGTTTACTGCAGAAAACAGAACCCAAAAAAGGGAAGAAAAAGTGTTAGAGGTTAAAACATGCAAAATCTGTGCTCTAGAGAAATATACAAAATTGAAGACGGCACATGAGGTAACCTCTACACTGAGCCAAGTAGGGATATGACTGTGTTTAAAGACAGTGAGTGGAAATGGAGATTTCAACAGACCGACAGTGATGAGGCAGAAAAACTTGATTTGGTGCTGCACTTATTCATGCTGTCCTGTTTACCCTGTTTCAGTTTAATGACAGTAATAACAGGTAATTTAGCGTAATTTAAGAAGGATAAAGAGGTACATGTCGCTATATTTAAGCAGTGGAGATAAAAACCATTTTGTAGATTCATGAAATCATTTGTGAGTAGGTGTTTTAGAAGAGAACCTCCTAACCCCCCCCATTATGGTTCCATGCTGTTTGAACAACCTGCTCACTCTACATCACCTCATCTTCCTTATTTAGAACTTAGACAAAGTCCACTTCTGGTTTTTGGTTTAACAAGTCAATGAACTAAGTGATAAATTCAAAAATGATAATAATCCATTGTCGCTTTTTTTCTGTCAATTACTAAATGCAGCTTGAATAACTGTTGTTAAAAAGCATTATCATATTCAAATGACAGCGATAACAGGGAGATACAGTGATTCACTGTGTATCTAAAGCTCAGATTTCCCCTTATGTGATATTATTTGAATTACTACATCCTTCTTCACTAATGCTGTTCTTGGACTAGATATTTCGGAACACTCTGACCTGCAAACATCTATTAGGTAGTTTACTCAGATAGAGGATTGAGAGGATTGTGTGTGTTTGATAGTGATATCATTAAATAATTGAAATATAAACGCAGTTTTAATGCGGGTCAGTTTCCTAGAACAGGGGATGTTCATGATGTAATCGACCACATTCATATTGCTCTACATCACAGCGATGCAAGTGTTGCAACATGTCAGTGATAGACCACGTTCATGTTTTATTGTAAAGCTTGTTTTTTTTTTAAATTTAGTGCAATAGAAGCAGAAAAGTAAAAAAAATCAGTTACTGTGACTATATGTATAGTTTGTGTCTATAGTGTTTAACATATTAACTGTATCCAGGGTAACATTAGATAGCTGTTTGTCTCTGAAATCCACTGTGTCTGTCTCTGATGTGACGTCTACTGTGGGTTTATGTGCGTGTTGATTTGTTGTGTTAATTGCCTGTGGTTGCTGAGTTGAAGCTTTTTAAAAGCAAGTCAGACCTCATGCATTGAGCAACACTTCCCTGCTACCTCTTCCTGTCATTGGGCCTTAGAATAATAATAAAAAAGACCTCTAAAAAGATCAATGAAAATCAGGGTGATCATATGTGGATTCTTAAAAATATGTATTTCAAGATTTCTAGTTTTTGTTTCTTGTATGTCTTACTTTTAGCAAAATGCACGTTACTGTACATCAGAAGACGGACGTTGCGTTTTTTGTCTTACTGATTATGAGAGACAAGTCATGCGTTAGTGTTTTTAAGTTGAAGTTTGTCAATGACACATCATTCTTATTATTTGAGAGATGGTGGTGGCAGAGAGTTTAAAGCTGTAATCAACCCTAGAACTTCCAGAATGCCTCTGTAAATGAACCATGTTACATTGAACAAAATGAGCATGTTAAATGAAGTGACACACTGATCTGATCTGCACCGTGCATGACGTATGATGCATGCATGAGCCCATGCATCAAGTGACATCCAAGAATCTTTTATCAGTGCATTTCTAAACCGTCCACATGATTGTTCCACACGCAACTCGAGTGCAAGTGCTCCGCAAAGGATGAAACAACTTGTATTTAGGAAAACGTGCAGCAAATTCAGAAACGCTAGAAATTCAAAGAAAATGCAAATGTCCTAAACAAATGCAATGGCCAAAGTGCTGCAAATGAAACACGCATGCGCCAATAAGCCGAAAACAACTGCATGAACATCAAATGTGTTAAATACATGAACAATAAAAGGTAAAAAAACACCCATAGCATAAAACAAATGCAGATCCAGCCTTTCAATCCTAGGGCCTGTAGGGGTCCTCAGTGAAACAGTATATATTTATTTCGGGAGAGAGTGAAGGACATCAGACACTAAAACGTTTGTTAGGATGGAAAATGAGACTGTATGTTGTCGTAAATCTTATTACAGCAAGGTGAGCGTTCTATTTGTCTCAGGGCATCCCGGGGCTGCTCTCACTGAACCCCCCCGCTCAGGTCTCTGGAGATGGACCCTGACAGATGTTGGACAGAGACAGAGAAGTGAATTTATTATCAAAAGACATAATGATAAATACCACTGGAGCGGTCGTATCTCTTGGGATATGCCCCACTGTCTACTGTGTAAAAACATGACTTTATAACATGTACAATAACCCACAAAGCTTCGAGAAATGAGGTCTGCTAAGTGGCCGCGCAGCTAGCGGGACTGTCCCAGCGCGGACACTGAACTTGTCAGGTCCTGGGCAGGGGGGTTCTCGGTAGGGAAAGTGTCATTGTTTGATGGCAGGGAGCAGTGGTAAACTGTAAAGAGTTCAACCTTGACTCTGACAGCAGGGGTGGCAAAGGCACAGTGGGACAGGCTGTGACAGCGGAGGCAGAGGGATGTGTTACAGTTAAAGCTAGCTTCAGGCATCCCGGGTCTCATCTCCACTGTCGCTGGTCTCGCTTTAAATCTCCTTGTTGCTGTAATGTTAAAGTTATTCTGTGTCATTCAACGACGCAGCATTCCAATCGACTTTATACTTCCAGGTTACACGTTTGAGAGACATAACAGACTAGATAGAGGGAAAGACAAAGTTACCCAGAGGTCAAAAGAGGGGAGGGAGGGGAGTGGGGCAGGGTTGATAAATTGATTAGTGAAGTAGAGTGCTCTCTAATGAAGCAGAGAGAGATGAAGAGAGCTGTACAGAGTGACACAGTTGTCATTTGAAGACACACATTTCTTTCTTTTTTTAATCAATATATTTTTTATCTCCTCGCCCAGCAACATAATATGTTCACGTTTCTGTGTGTGTGTGTGTGTGTGTGTGTGTGTGTGTGTGTGTGTGTGTGTGTGTGTGTGTGTGTGTGTGTGTGTCTATGAGAGAGAGAGAGGCGGACATTGCAGTCATTACTTAAATGTGTTTACATAGGAAAGAACACATGGGTGAACTGTCAGACCTAAGAGCTGCAATCAACCTATTAGCCTTCACACACACACACACACACACACACACACGCACACACACACACACACACACACACGCTGCTGCTGCTTGTTGCTGAAAGCAGGTGAAACATTTCTATGCTGTTCAGGAGAGTATAATAGGCTCTAAGAAGCTTTGACTGAGATATTCAGTGGCCTTCATGGAGAACACTTTGCTTTATGTATCCTTTCCTTTTTGTGGCAGTTTACCAATAAAAACTCAATTTACCTCGATACTTTTTTGATAATACATCCTCTTTATATAAGGACCCAGACAAGTACATGATCTGCTGTGTTGCATTTCATGTTCATTTTCGTTTTGGCCAATCTTGCATATTAAACTGCGTCAATCGTGATTAGTCACATTTCTAATGGAATATTTGAAATAGTAAGGCTTTTATTTTGAATTTTTGTACTGTCTTAAGCTCAGAGTACTTTACTCACTGCTTGATTTCAACACTGCTTTTATTTTGAACTAATGAAAGGACCTTTTGGTAGATGGAAAATTAAGATGTTAACTTAACCACGGAAAAAGAAACTCCTTACAGATTTATGAACTGAATGAAAAGAGCTAATAAGAACGGTAATAAAGTGAAATGTTTGATGTCATAAGGTGGATGTTACTTCCTCGTCGACTGAGTCGAAGTGTTCTAAAGTGATATGAGACATTTGAATTCCCAAACTGTGACAACTGGGAGACACTGCAGAGACTTATCTAAGTTACGCCTAAATGGACAAAATAGCATGCAATGAATTAATATATGAATGCATTCATTTTAGTAGGGGTGACCCACAATTGTTAAATGTTCAACGTTTCGTTCAGCAAAGCCTCAGTCGACTGCCAGTCGGTTGAACACAATGATCATTCCAGTCCAGCTGTATGGGGTGTTGAATGTAGTATTCATGGCTCATAGCTTATCTTTGTAAAAATATCATCTTATTAATAGTTTTAATGCAATTCTGAAAACCATGCATACTTTAAATCAATCTCAAGAAATCACCCTGAAGTTTTGTTAGAAGCAGCATATCCATGTTTAGAGAATTTCATTGGCTACTAGAAACATTAGTCATCAGCACAGTCACATGCAATTGGCTGTCAGAACAGGCAGGCACCCCTTTTCAACTCACACTCTCGTTGGCTGCTATAGGCTGTAAACGGTATATTGATGAGGTGCCATCAAAAAGTCAGCGAAACAGCATATACATTTGAATCAATCCCTGCATATTTATGGATGTAATGTGTTTGGATAAAATCTTTCTCTGGATTAGGACAGTGGGGACTCAATTTTGGTGGAATACTCTGATCAGGAAGTAAACCTTCCAATTGTAAGTCAAAAGACAGTAAACATCGTTGTTTGTCGGTGGTCTGTAGTTGAATCTGCACACGTGAGCCATCAGTGTGTTTGCCCTCTGTATTTTAAATGGGTGTAATATACAGACTTTTTAGGATTACCAAAATTGGATTACCTGTACTCTCAATTGGACTTCATATTACAACTTTGTCCACAGGGGGCGCCAAAATCAACAGAAACTATAGTCTGTCACTCAATCAGTCCCTGATTTCAAATGAAACATTTATGCTTTGTATTCACAGCTATTTTGTCAATTATTATATGTGGGGGAAAATATTCTTGATAAAACTGTTTAATTATTCATTAAAAATTAGGTGATACTTTTGAAGCATCAATCTCAATCTCTGCAGGTCTTGACTGTAACTTTTAGAGTTCAGGTAAGGACACAACAGAGGAACAGCATGTCTATCACATTCCCCTCCAACCCTCCGACCCCGAACCCTGTTTGGTGGAAGACCCAAGTCTAACATTGTTGCTAGGCAGTAGTCGCCAGTTGCTAGGTGATTGTGATGGCGTGTAGAAGGGGGCTGGAGGAGTAAGATTGAGGACATGAAGGAAGGAATGTTAAAAAATAAAAATTAAAAAAAAGGAAAGAAAAGGCCTGACCTGGAGGTTTAACACAAGAGTAGATGATTTTGATTGGTGGTGCTATAGAGGAGAGGTTGTGTAACATTTTAAACTGCTTAATCCACCAGGGAGGAGAAATGTGCTCAGGAGAGTGTATGGATATCAGTCTTCTTTTGAAAAAGTATTGACCTTATAGAGGGGGGGGTGGGGGGTCCATTGTATTGAGAACATGATAAACCACAGCAGGTTTTATATTAGATCCAGCCAGTCAATTTTTCTGTCTCTTGATAGATGTAGAGCTAGCATAAAGATAATTAAGGTGATGACAGCTATAAATTTTTATCTATAATCTAAGGATGTTGTGAAAAGAAACTCATCATCACTTAATGGTAAATCCCCCCCCTCCCCCCCACACACACACACACACACACACACACACACTCTGCAGTGGAACACATTTCTGCTCTTGTACATGATGTATTGACACTCGGTTCACTGATGAAAATTGATTCTTTGAGGCTAAGCTGCTCATTTGGTTGATTAGAGCAAAGATGGCGTCCAGAGTCAGAGATCCTAAACCCACTGAGGTTCAGCCGCGTTCGAAATGCAAATCATCACCACCATATCAGATGTGTTGTATTTCTGAGGGAAGAGGGTCACTATGCAAATTCTCCAAAAATAAAAGTTGAACTTGTGGTCTTACAGAGTTAATGACTCTTTCCTCATCTTTGAGTTATTAAATGTAAAACCTACCTCTAGCTGTATCCAGTCATGTAGGTGAGGGCAGAAAATGTCATCTGCGTGATCTGATGATGCAAGGAACAGTGTTTCAAAATCCCACTTAAAGTCATATTCGAAATGTATGTCCAAAAGAATTCATCATAACACAAAAAAAAACAACCCATACCCTTCTTAATTCGGTCAAACTACTATAAAAACCCAGCCCTGGAGGTTTAACACAAACAAAGATGAAAATATCCACATGGTGGTGCTATAGACGATCCATCAGGCAGGAGAAGTTACTTACAAGACCCTGATTTTGGTCATCCAAACAGTCTGACCGATTAATTTGCAAGAAAATAATATCGGCCAATATTAGAATATCCAGTGTTTATCGGTATCGGCTAATTTTATTGCAGATATGTGCCGATAGTATACCAATTTTTCACCAGTCAACTAGCATTTCATTTGAGTTTCACTGTATTACACTAGCACTTCTCTTTCTGGCTGTCACCAGCAGAGTGTGCTATATGGATAAGGACAGGCAATTACCAGCATCCAAAGTGTCAAGCTGTGACACACATACATGCGCAGTTATTTTCCAGTAGAGTTAGCATCTTGTCACTGTCATCTCGTCAAGTTTTACTGTAGTGTTTAATAACTGCATTTACTGCAACGCAATAAATGTGTATATCTGAATCTGTCTGTCTCTACAGATCCAACATCTGATCTAAGAAACATATGGGCTGATATATCGGTATCAGATTTTTTTCTCCCTAATATAGATATCAGTATTGTCCCCTAAAATCCCATATCGATCGGGCACTTATCCAAACAGAATGTGAAGTCAAGCTGCCCTGCCTTATTACTGCACAACTCTTTCTCTGTTCACTGTCATGTCTAACACTATTTATGTTGTTTTAAACTTGAGCATTAGGAAACAACTGCCAACTTTTTACCTGACGTATTACTACAGCTATAAAGTACCTTCTGGCCTATTTTTGTATCTTTACAGTGATGTTTATAATTTGCATTTTTCCTGAGAAATAAACAGGATTGACCAAGACTCAGTTTAGTCATTTTGACGTTTAAAATATGTATGTGAATAACGAGTTTGCAGTTGATTGTGTTCACATGTATACTTTTTACAATGTATTCAAAGTCAAATGTATCACAAGTCCTTTCTCTCTCACTTAATGTGTGTGTGGTAATTAACACAGGGTTAGGCAGTAATTGAAACTGCTGCTGATCCTCTGGGGATCTCTTTATTCTAATCAAAAAGAAAGAGAAGAACAGACACTTTGACTGACTGTGACACAGGAAAAAAATCTGTCTGATTCAGCACCAAACCTCAACCGCTGTGACTTTCAAACACACTTTGACACTGCCATCTGGTGGATGCATGGTGTAAGTGCAGAGTTAGTGTCAGTTTGATCACCTGCCAAAACAAGATGCTTATTGTGTTGCCTAATGAACTCACATGATGTCAAATGAAGGTGTATCATATATTTTAGGATTAAAATAATATCATAATATATCTGCAGCACATGCATCATAGCTGCTAATGCCTGCAAATAATAAAAAAAACATTTGCATTAAACGTCATGCTTTTACTGTCACAATTTAAACTAAATATGTCTGTAATTCAATATTTGTAGAAATTGATTTTTTTTTTGGAAATGTCTTGTGCGTTTGTGTGTAGCTGCTCCGGGCTCCACAGAGAATGAGGAGCGAGTGTTTCGGCAGAGGATGCGTCCCAGGAAGCGCCAGGGTGCCGTCCGTCGGAGGGTCCACCAGGTCAACGGACACAAGTTCATGGCCACCTACCTGAGACAGCCCACCTACTGCTCCCACTGCAGGGACTTCATCTGGTCAGCACACTCACCCATCGTGAGCATGTATCAAACACATGGAGCAATTCATTCATCTTCAAATACAGCTGTACACAGGCACCTGTTAGACACAGAGTACATAGATCTACATGCTGATTATGTTTGCATGCATATCATTCTAATACCCTTTCAATGAAGCTAGGGTTGGTTTAAATGAAAACAAACAGTTAAGCAGTCACTTCTTGTTACAGTTCATGTACAGTTTATATTTTCGTCTGATTTCTCCCACTGACCTGCTTGCCTTGTTTACGTGTAAACACACAGTGAAGTGGGATGTAATAAACAGAGACAGTTGTGCATGTTTCCATCTCAACAACCTGACACATAAAAACCATGTGGCCTGTGCTCTGCTGCTCTCTTTCAGATCAAACAATAAATAAAATACATGAAACATTTCATGTTTAATAAGAATCTCAGGAACCCTAAAAAAAAAAGAAAGAGACCCAGAGTGTTCATGTACATAAATACAGCAGTGAGGTAGATGAATATAGATAAAGGTAGGAGGAGGAACATGATGTTTGATAAAACCTTTTATTGTAAAACATCTGTGCTTTTCTGGGCAATTTTGAAATAACTGTACACTAGAAATTAGCAACATATAAGGAGTACGATCGATCGATCGATCCAGCCGGTCTTCAAAAATAAATGACCCACATTGGCTGTTTATCTCCTTCTATGACAAGTGATCCTCTCTAATGAGCCGTTCCTCATCTTCAGTAACAACACATTCTATACAGTTTAAGCAAGTTAATGTCGATTTTCACACATTTTCTTATCTCTCTGATTTTTAGGGGGGTCTTAGGAAAGCAGGGGTACCAGTGTCAAGGTAAGATGTCTCTATGTTCCTCTCTATGTTTCTTTTAAATGCATATGTTTTGACATCTTGAATTGGAGGCATTTAAAACATGTACGTTTGAACATAACAGAATGTAAAAGTGTTTTCTTTGTCTGTGTGCGTTTGTGTGCATCCTGCAGTGTGTACCTGCGTGGTCCACAAGCGCTGCCATGAGCTGATCATCACAAAGTGTGCAGGCATGAAGAAGCAGGATGACACAGTCGGAGAGGTACTGATCCACATGTCTAGGCTGTTTTTATTATTTACAACTCAGTCATATATAATGGCCATCTTTAGATCTGGGTCTGGTTTAAAATAAGATAGGCAGTTTGATATCCTGCTGCTCGAGTCCACATGTCAGAGGTCGTTCTGTTAATCACTCCTGAAGGATGATCCATCGGTGAGTGAATGTGGGAATTGAATTACCAGTAAATCTGAACTGCTATGTGTCTTGTATGGCAGACTTAAGCATCTGTGTTGCAGGGGTTATAAAATATGCACTTGAGTACAAAAGTTAGGTATATGACAACTAAAAAAAACATAGAATATTCAAAACATAAACAGCAGATCTGCACAAAGGCAAAGCAAACTGCAAAAGACTTAAGTAATATGTGTATTTTTCATATGAATGAATGTATCCACGCTTAATCTAATTTGCTCCACTCTGATGTTATATTGATAACACCTGGACCAGTTTGGTCATCTTCAAGAAAAAAGGATGAGGGGAAAACTGGTAGTTGAGATTTTGATGGAGGCTCTGTAACATGTAGGGAAGAAGGCTGGCTTGTCTTCTGCTTGTTGAGTGCATGCTTAAATGTTTCAGATATTTGATCAAACATTGAAGCATTGGGGTCTGTGCTGAAGAAGTAAAACATTTAATATCTCCCTCCATGTAATAAGGACAAAATCCCAACCATCTATGAGCCCTGTCGGACCTCCAGACTCAGGTTTGTTCTCATTGTCCTTCTGTCCCTCTTCCAGCAAGTCGGGTCTCAGAGGTTCAGCGTCAACGTTCCGCACAAGTTCAGCATCCACAACTTTAAAGTTCTCACCTTCTGTGACCACTGTGGCTCTCTGCTGTGGGGTCTGCTGCGACAGGGACTGCAGTGTAAAGGTAAACACAAGCAAAACACAGTCCAGATCCCAAACACTAAAGCCCCACACACACTTCCTGGGAATGTGCCTCGGAATCTGTGAGTGTAGAGTTTGGGATTTATCCACAGTTTGTGAGCTCCTGTTTATGTGATACTTTGGATAATATAAGTCCACACGAACAAACTCTGGTCTGTATCAATCTGTACTACAGTACAGCTAAACTACATAGACTCATTCTTTTTTGCTCATCTTCCCCTGTGTGTGTCTCTCAGTGTGTAAAGTGAATGTACACAGGCGCTGCGAGAGTAATGTAGCTCCTAACTGTGGCGTGGACGCTAGAGGGATCGCTAAGGTCCTCTCTGACCTCGGTGTCACACCAGACAAGATCTCCAACAGCGCCCAGAGACGGAAAAAGGTAAGTCATGTAAAAAGTCAACTGGATTTGAATTACATTACTAACTTTTACATTAGTACATTAAACATATAACTTTACTAATTGTAAATGCAATAAATCATCGGGTAGAGTTTTACATTTTTGGACTTAATTCAGTGCAAACAAATGTGAGATATCAATGCATGTATCCCTTTAGTGCTTGATTTTACCACTGATATGTTCAGATTAATATTCAGTGTCATGGATGGATTCCTATGGAGTTTTTGTCAAATGTTTTAGTCACACAGAAAAGCAAGGTAGACAATCCACTCCTGTGTTCTGCAAGGTGAAAATAACTGTTTTAGACAATGGAGTTTGATGGCTTTGAAGTGAGCATAGCAGCGACTGGTTAAAACTAATTTGACTCAATTCTACAACTACAATTCACTTAGCAGGCGCTTTTATCCAAAGCTTTTAACAGAAAGGTTTTATCTTGTAGAGATCTGTCCATGATATTCACACAAGGTAACTGAAAAGAATAACAATCTGAGATGTCAGCTCCAAAAACAAGAATTTTTGGTGAACACACTTTGAAAAGAAATTACGCTGAAGCAAACCTCCAAACGGCTGCTTTGAAATTTTTAGAATTATAACATCTATTAGTCACAATGAGATGTCTGAAAAAATACATCACAGGTTTGAAAATCTTTAAATTCTGCTCAACAGACAGCTCTGATAATTTAGTTTTTGGGGCATTAGCAAGCAGATGTCGCCAGATGACAGATTGTGTCTTTAAACAGCTTCCTCAGGGTCAGGATCCTGTGCAGCCGTTACCAGGGACGCGTAAGACGGAAGTCGATCGCTCCAAGTCGGCCCCCACCTCCCCGTGTGACCAAGGTAACAGAGGTTCACACAATCATTATACAAACACAAAGCTGCCAATGAACACACCAGAGCGTGTTTTATTTTTATTTTTATTTGGTACAGATGCGAAGGAGCTGGAGAACATCCGGAAGGCCATGTCGTTTGACCACCGGGGTGAGGAGCACAAGAAACACTCCCTCTCCTCCACGTCATCTGTTGCTACAGTAACAGAGGAAAGTCATGGAGGAGGAGGAGGAGGAGGAGGGGGAGGGGTGGAGGGAGGCAGCATTGGGACCAAGGGTGTAGGAAGCAGTGAGAACGGAGATGTCAAAGGTCATATCACTCCTGAAATGAAGAGGATGAAGCTGCACGACTTTTTGTTCATCAAAGTTCTGGGAAAAGGAAGCTTTGGAAAGGTGAGCGTTTGACTTCTGACACATTTTGACTGTATACGTCAGCTCTGTGAAGCATCTGGTTATGCTGTTATTTTTGTTTTTATCCTTCTCTTAATCTTTTAGAAAAATTATGTATTATAGTCAGGCATATGTTATAAACCATTAATAAATCAATCAAATGGGAGAAAATAAGAGGATTTTGTGGAGTTTCCTCTCTTCTGACTGGTGTGTGTCATGTGAGCAGGTGATGCTGGCCGAGCTGAAAGGCAGCGACGAGGTTTATGCCGTCAAAGTGTTGAAGAAAGACGTGATCCTGCAGGACGACGACGTGGACTGCACCCTGACTGAGAAACGGATCCTCGCCCTGGCCAGAAAACACCCATACCTGACACAGCTCTTCTGCTGCTTCCAGACTAAGGTAGGAACACACACACACACATACACACACACACACACACACACACACATACACACACGTACACACATTCAGAGACATGCAGGCATACTTTTGTACCTCCAGGGGGCAGCAGGGGTCCGCATATAGATCTGTTTCCTCCACTTGTTGTGCAACAGCTACTTCTTTTACCAGTGTACAGAGAACAGGGGATGAAAAGTCTAGAAAACTTTAAAAAGATGAAGCATGTGTTTGTCTGTCAGGAAAGATTTAAATGTTTAAGTTAAAGAATAAAGGTGAACTTTCATTTGAACAGTGATTTAATCTTTATTTTAATGTAAAACTGTGATTTCTTCAAAGATGGTGCGGTTCCAGATAGAGATACAAAATGAAACAAATGTTTCTGTGGCATAAACTTTCCATAAACATAAACTGTCTTTGGTTTCAAGGTGTCTAAAGTTAGGTTTATCTCTAGTTACTGTTTTATATTCCTTTAACTTGTGCTTTTATGTTCGAATTTAGTATTTTTTCTTTTACTAACTTTACTATTTTAATTATAAGTACCATTATTAATATTTATTTATGTGTTTCTATTGCTCTCACCTCTCACTGCTTTTTTATTTTTATTGTTGTTATCTGTTTTTATCTCCTTTAGTTCCTTCCATCATCTTAAATATTTGGTGTTATGATGTTTCTTTTGATGGTTCGTTTGATGGTTTATATGATGGGTCTCGTGATTATTTTTTGATGGTTCTGATGATGGTTGTTTGATGGTTGTTTGATGGTTGTTTGATGGTTCTTTTGATGGTTCCTTCGATGGTTCCTTTGATGGTTCTTGTTATGGTTCTGATGATGGTTGTTTGATGGTTGTTTGATGGTTCCTTTGATGGTTCCTTTGATGGTTCTTTTGATGGTTCCTTTTGATGGTTCTTTTGATGGTTGTTTGATAGTTGTTTGATGGTTGTTTTGATGGGTCTTGCGATGGTTGAGTTAAATATGTTTGTTGGGTAGCTTGCTGTAAGGGTTCTTTTGCGGTTGGGTTATTTTTCGTTGTCTATATTCTTGCTGTGATTTATGTTCTTCTGTGTTTTATGCTTCTTCTCTCTGTTAAAACACTTTGTAAACCTGTTTTTTTTAAGACAGTTTCCCCTACCATTATATTAGGGTGTATATAAGGTGCTATATAAATAATGATAGGTGATACAGTTTTTTAAATTTTGACCTAAAATGTGGCTCTTGATCAAAAGTGTCCACCTTTTGGCATCTAACATGATTATGTTAGCCTCCATTCTGATCGCAACAAAGACTAAGAAGGCTTCCTGACAATACAAACTCATGGTATTAACTTAGTTATTAGGGAAATACTTATTCTTTATAATTTCTATTTATACCTGGACGTTAGTTATGTGTGCAAAAGGAACCAAAAACTCTGAGAATTGATGCAATTATGACCGTAAAAGGTGCTAAACAAAAAAGGTCCAATACCGGACTGGCAGCCATGCTGCAAGAAATTATCTGTGAGGAAATATCCAACGCATTTGGCGCAAAGTTGCAACATGGGAATGAGCTGACTTTAACTCTGAAGTCAGAAGTGGAGAAATATGAGGTGACTTTAGCAACTCCCAGATCCTCTGCTGAGGATTCAGCAGGACTCTCACAACTTGAAAATACCTGCTCTTTCTCTGTGATCTGCTTGGGAGGGAGAGTTTGGGTCATACAGTATACCACCTGAAATTACTGCTCACCGTACTGACATACCTCACAGGATATTTCACATATTTTCACTGTACAGCTCTGAGATTAAAATGATACGATTAAAGGCATTTTAAGAAAGACTCAATATAAAGGAGATTGAAAAAACATGAACCAGAAGTATCACGATCCCACCTAGAATGTACTGAAAATAAATTACACAGATAAAGATAAAGTAAAAAGCTCTGCACTGTACTTGTTTTCAGATTTCATCTTAATTACTCGTCTACACTGAAGTTGTTAGTAAAACGACTGCAATCAGTTCGGGAAAAAAAAGTGCTTTAGTCTCTGTGCTCTTTCTCACACACACAAACACATTTCTCTCCTCTCATCATCTCACTTAACAGCTAATTTGTCCGTCCATACAGTAAGTGAACGATGACAGACAGCCACACAAAGGGCACCCGTGGGAGGGATGCAGCAAACGCCAAAGACCTGTCTGGTACTCTGTATGTTTTGTCTATCATATGTTGCATGAGTGTTCCTGTCAGGAACGTATAGAGACTGTACATATACTGTTGGTGCACGTTGTGTGTGAGTTTGTGAGTCAGCCAGGTGTGTACAATTTCCAGTTTGGCGACCTGCTAAAGGTACTGGTCACGTGTTGTGTTGATGTGACGTGTTCTTTTACGGCCACTGGAGCCTGACGAGGCTGAGGAAGCTGCACAGGTGTTCACTTTTACCAAGTCAAGTTTCTGAACATTTGAAAAACATACTCAAGACATAAACTGAATGTTCACTTTTGTTATGAATTAACACTGCGGTGTCTACTTGTGATGTCCTGCTGCCTACGTCTGAGCTGTGTTCAACTATAAACCACTGAAGCTCTTTGCATGCAGAGCTAAAACACTGACAGGGATCACAGAGTTCAGATGGAGGAATCTGATGACAATTATTAATAATGTATATCTTTAAAAAAAAAAAAAAAGGAAAAATAGCATTGTTAAGTAATTGAATCAAATAAATGTAACTCACTACCAAAGTCATTGGATTTAAATGTTTTGTTGATGGAGAAAATATCTTCATGGTCAGCAGTTTTTTACAATATCTCTTCAGTGCACAATAATATTTTGTGATTCAATTTTCTATAAAGTGGTTTTGATGGTGACTGATTTTAAAAAGGGGATCAGATTTTGAAAGGATCTGATTTAAAAAAGACTGTCTGCTGCAATCACAAAAAAGTCAAATCAGTGTCATAAATGACAAATAAAGCAGGTACCATTATTAATAATAATAATAATAATAATAATAATAATAATAATAATAATAATAATAATAATAATACAAAATGCACTGGTGGCGCCCCCCACTTGGAGGACTACAGCCTACATACACGGAGCGCCAGCAGGTTCAAATCCAGCCTGTGGCTCCTTTCCGGCACGTCATTCCCCACTCTCTCTCTTCCTATCTCTCCAATAAAGGCACAAAAAGCCCAAAAATAAATCTTAAAAAAATATATGTAAAAAAAATATGCAGGAGCCCCTGCAGTCACAAAAAGTTTGGCTTGTGCGCAAAAGATAATAACATTTTAGATAAGTTATTATTATTATTTTTTTACTTTTTGGGACTTCAGGGGCTCCGTAGATATCTGATCATAGAATAGAAAATAAAAAATACCAGGAGACTGTTTTTTAAATTAAATATTATTGTAAATATGTGATTCTTGGGGTTCTGTAACTGTAATTGTTGGAAGATCGTCACTGGCACCAAACGGCTCAACTTTGCAAAAGGTGAAAGACATCTTTGTGTCTCTGTCTGTAACTTTGTGTTTTTGTTGCTGACTGTCTTAGCCAGGTCTCCTTTGGAAAAGAGGTTCTTAATCCTGATTATATAAAGGTATATAGTTGATTTTGTTTGCAAGCCAATAATTGGCCAATGGGGCGAGATTACTTGTCTTGCACGGGAAAGACAACACAGTGCCTTTATAGGACGATATTCGTGTTTGAAAATGCTTATTGCTGTTTGCAGCGAGTGCACTTTTACTTTTTTTCCGGTGCATGACGGTTTGAGCAACAGACAGTGAAGCACTTTGTTAAATACCAGCGAAAGCTTCCTGGGAACTGGCAGAAAATATGTGTCACTGTTTAGATGACACATCTTGTCAAGAAAGTCTGCCTCAACGGGAGAGGAGGAGCTGAGGGGGCGGGGTTTTATTTAAAACAAATCTGTATTCTTTGTTTATTTTCTCAGAACGTTCTGGAAGTCTTGAGTCTAATGATGGCGTCTCCTGTTCCTTTTTTTTATTTATTCCTGTTAGTTTCCCTCCAAAGCAAACACAAACATGTGCAGAGACAGTGAGACTGTGTTGACACATAACATCTTCCTTCACTTTCCTTTCTTTTCTACTTTTTGTTTTCATCTGCCTGCCTCGTGCATACACACACTCACACATGCACACACACGCACACACACGTGCACACACACAGTAAGAAAGGGGTGATTGCGAGTGTGTTCTTGGACAAAACAAAGGGATTGTGGTTGGCTCTTATATAACGACTTTGATCCTTATCAGGGACGGGATGTGCATTACATATGCTGTGTGACCCCGCCCTCATCCCCCTTCTCACCCCTTCCCTCCCACCAGCTCTCCTCAAAACACATTTATTTCTCTAGCCTCATTGTGATTACAGTACAGGTAGGTAGATCAAGAGGTCGACTTTGTTATTATATAGTGAAGAGATGCACTATTAGGTAGCTCTCATGTAACTCCACTCAACACTGGGTTGATGTTTGTTAGCCTGGCCAATTCACAAACAAAACTGTGTGTGCGGAATATTTGACTCGTTTTTATTTTTATTTTTCAAGGGGCGATGTTGGTGAGTGCAGATCAAAAAAGCCTCAAGCCACAGTGGATGTATTATAATTAAGACCAGAGCATTAACCTAAAGATGTGGCCTATTTAGTGATCAGTCTATCTATTTTCTGCTGTTAAGAATTGTGTTTAGAACTCTATCACATGACCCTGGGGATGTAACAATTTTACACCACCATACAATTATAAAACATTCTTTCTCACTCCGTGCATCACTCATTTGTGCACCCTTCTTTCACTGCGAGGCCCCTCAATGACTTACCTACTGAACCTGCATCACAGAACTCTGTGTTCAGACATGTTTTCTCATCAATTAGAGGAAGTGTGGAAAGTTCACCACAGCTCAAACTTTCAGGAGGGGGGCATTAGCTTACAGTAAAAAGAAAAAAATCACAATAAATCAGAATGCTTTCGGTCAGCTCCCTGCGATTGACAAGTTGTAAAGAAAGAGACTCATGGG